GGACCCCGCATCTTGAAAAGAAAATGCGGCGACTTTTCTCCGCTGACCTGCGAAGACCAGCGGCGGAGAGATCTTCACGCGTTCTTTTCAAGAAGCGGGGTCCAAAAGGGCCCAATTTATTTTTTTGTAAGGAGGCAGCGGCCTCCCGTGGGCTGGGCAATAGCAGGGGTGCCCTTTACTCCCCAGTACCCCCCCCCTCAACATGATGCGCTGGGTTCGACCTGGGGTCTGTCAGGCCGGTCGACCGGCAGGCTCCCCGTTGGGGGAGCGGCCCCCGGTCCAACCGGGGACCGGCCCTGGACAGTGGACACAACTTTATTACTAAGAAAGCAGTAATCACCCAAGAGACCCGCATCAATCGGCTCTAGAATCGCTACTTTTCTTCACCTATTCTTCACCCCCTGACTTCATCATCATTTCACCAACTGTTTCTGGGGCAATCCGTGGTGCCATACTGTTCAAAAGAGGACAAATAATTCTCGCAAATGCTCTTATAGTCTCCTACTGTTCCTACCTACCGCTAAGCAACTCTGCTGCAAATTTCCACATCACATTGTGCATCCATGCAAAATTGTGGAGCGCTCTCTTGAAGAACTCGTCCAGGAACCATTTGCACTCCTTACGCATGGCCCGTACGTGCCTGGGAATGGTGGTTCAGACCATTGTGTTCTGATCAATGCGATAGAACCAACCGGAAAATGGCTGCCCCGTTCTGAAAATGATATCCCTAGTGTGCCCTTCGATGCCCTCATGTGCTTTGGCGGGTTACAGGTTCCTGATTTGATACAGAGTCAGTTTCGGGTTTAGGGTTTAGGGTGCCACGACACTTTCAGTTTCAGTGGCAGTTTTACTACCCATTTCGTCTGTACGGCTTTGTACTCAGTGACCGTGTCGATCAGGCTGAGTCATCCCTTGCTTGAAGGGTTTATTATGTACATTGTACGTGATTGAGGTTTCTCAAGCTGAGTGGGCAGGATTTTTTGCACGCCTGTGTGCGCCCGGTCCCCAGTGAATCTGGAAGCTTCTGGAAACTGTACCAAGCCTTTGGATGCGGAGTGATCTGTGGACGAGTTTGACTTCTAGGAAAATCTGTGACTCTTGGTTTACTGTCCGCAGGTTGAGACCTGACTGTAGAGTTTCCTCAAGCCTGGGTTGACTTGTCCAGGCTCTGGGGGTGTTTGTGAGCTCTGGCACCCCAGACTGTTTGACCCGAGGGATATCTGAGGCGACTTTTGAGCCTAGACAGCGACTTTTGTCCCCAGAACTCCGACTTGGACATGCGACCTTCGATGAACTTAAGTTGCTTAACTTGATGTGGGTTGACTATGCTGAATATGTTTGTTTCCTTGTGAATGTCTGACTGTGGGCTGACTAGCGATTGGATTATTGCGGAGCGCAGGGGGTGTGGGGAGAGGGGGAGAGAGAGAGAGAGAGAGAGAGAGAGAGAGAGAGAGAGAGAGAGAGAGAGAGAGAGAGAGAGAGAGAGAGAGAGAGAGATGGCCACTGGCCCCATGTTAGCCACCTCTTCGTTGCACCTGCAATTTTTCATCCCCATGAACAGTTGCTCCCTTTTCCCCTCTCCCCCCTCTCTCCTTCGTTCTCTGCCGGTCAACACACACATCATCGAGGAGTCATGCCGTTTCTGTTTGTGCACAGGCAGCATAGGTGAACGTTTAGTTGATGTGAAAAGCCAGGGACAGCCGCACTGAGTTCCTCATAGTATAGACCCAGATGGAGTAGATGGTCTCCTTCAAGCTTGCTGATGATAACGAATAGAAAAATGTGTTCCCTGGGTGAGTTTCAAAGGCAAGAAGGGCCTCCACTCGCTCATGACAGTACGCCCTGATGGAGCAGACGATCAGAAAGGTTGCTTATGATAAACAACTGAAAAACAGCGTTTTCTTTCAATGCACAATCATCATGGGTAGTCTTTGTTTTTTTCCCAAAAAAATCCCTTTTTGTGCGTATGTGTTTGATGGACTGTCCAATATGTGCGTATGTGTTTGATGGACTGTCCAATCTGAGTCTCTGAAAGGTAAGTTGGGAAGAGGCAGCATTGAACATAAATGACAGTTATAACATTTGAGAATTTTGAGGTGAAGTTTTTGTGAGCACTCCCAGGGCCAAGTGATCCAGTGTAAGGCGCAAACAAGCAGAGTCAAGTGAAATCATGAAAAATGTTTTCCAGAATTCTCAAAGAGGAATGACTTCGGCAAATCGAAAGTCATTGCCCTTCAGCTCTTCGCTCTCTCTCCATCATCTCTCATCTCTGTTCTGCCACTGGGCTATGAAGTCATCAGGCACCAGGTTGGTCGCCAATAGACATGAACAATATGTCATGGCCATCAAAATGGCAGCATGGTGTCATCGAAAATTGCGGTGATCTCAAGAAGTTCAAGTTCATACCATCGGCCACCACGGGCTGCATGATGGATGGCAAAACCTCGCACCATTCACGTCAGTGATCAGCAACCTTCTTCAACGGTTGGTCCCCATCTTTACAAGCTGAGTCTGAAGATGGCGCTGACATCTGAAAGTTGCTACTACAGAAAAACCATGACTGGCACTTGTGCAATGTGTCGTCATAAACAGCTCGAAAATGGAAGTATCAAAGAAGTTGACACATCATGCAGACGTTGTTGTAACTTTTGCTGCTCTGCATGACAATGTTTTACCCGTTAAAGCTTCTTTGAGGGCATGCGATGTCCATCATCTCTCTCCAATGAGCAGATTGTGACATAACAGACAAGTCACTCTGCATCTCCTAAAAAAAGAAAAGAAAGAACCAAAACTAAGGAAAACATAGAGCACAGCAGAAAAAGCTGGAGAATAAGACTCAAATGAGAATTGTGAAGGGCCTTGTGATCGTTGTGTCGAAAAGTCAACAACCCTCAAGCATCTCTCTGTTCATTTGTCACCCCCCCGCATCATGCTACCCAAAAACTTGCTGCTTGGATCATTCTGCAGGGTTGAACATGTTTTGCTGTGAGCCAGGATATATTGCGGTTATGGAACAGCTTGGCAACCAACCAGACAACTTGAGCTGGGTGATCCGACCGAAGAAGGAAGAAAAGCAGGTTGACCATCCCCTCTGCCAACCAAAAGCCCATCTCCTCATCCAGCCAAGAGCTTTCAATTTAACTGATCAACAAGATGATGACAAGGAAACTACACAATCATCAAGGCAACCAGTCGTGAAGGAGAACAACCGCCTAGCAAGGAATCCACAAACCACTAAACAAAACCAAGTTAACCAACAGAGCAGCCAATCTCCACAAAGAGAGGTTGGCACAGGGGCAAATTGAGGCCAGCACATTGACCAAGCAAGGGAAGTTGTGAATGCAGTAGCTGGCGAAAGGATATGACCAAAGTAGTAGAGAGGTGTACGACACGGCCAAGAGACAAGTTGCCTCACATAACCAACAGACAAGTGAGCTTCCAGGGTCCAGAATGACCTGGCAACCAGCCACAGCAACAAGCAGAGGAGTGGAAAAGGCGATGGACCATCCATGCAGCCAATGCATCATACTCAAAATAGCAACACAACCACCCAATCAAGCAGTGAAGCAAGCATGCAACCAGCCGGACAACCAGTCGCACAACTTCTGCGAAGCAAACAGAAGGGGGGGAAACCAAAGTACTGAAAAAGAAAGCCAATGTTCCGATTCCATAGAGAGTGTTTAATAAGGACACAGAACTGTTACATATTGTCCTGCAGCTGCAGGACGCACCAAGACAGAAGAAGATTTGTCTCTCAATTCAGCTGAATATATCGTGATTGTCGTCCGATAGCCAGACGACACGTGGCAAAATTTCCAAATGTGTTGGCCTGACCTTCAAATGGGGGCAGAGGAGCCTTGAACAAACTGGAGCTTCATGATGCTGCATTCTCTGCTCCTCTTCTTGAAGTATGTCCTTAAACAAGCTGGAACCGTTCACAGCATCCAGGTGGAGTTTTCACATCTCTCGAAGACCCCTACGTCCATGCTGCTGCGATCTGTGCTCCTCTTCTTGAAATACGTTGTGGAACCAGAACCCTGTTAACAGCCCCCAGCTACAGCAGTTTGTATGTCTCTATCATTTGTGCAATAACGTATCAACAAGTCTGATTATTATTTCGCACCTGATACTACCTGGAACGCAAAGATTGTCAACATCCGTGGAAGGCTGGAAGCCGAAGGTAATGCATCCAACTGCCTACCTACTGGCACAACTGAAAACTGCCAGTCAATGGATGGCTGCATACAGGGGCGTCCCCAATGTCTTTGCTTGACAAGAGTCCCTTCTGACAGAGACTCTCTCTCAGAAAATCCAGGTGTCAAAGTCGATGGAACTCGAAATTTGAAGTTCCCGACGTCCAAAGCTCACATCAACAATCACATGTCTAATTCTGTAACGGTGTGTCAATTCACCTACAAGGGCCCATGCCAGGCAGAACATGCTCGACGGATGGCACCCAGTATGGGTGAGTGAGAGTCAAGGTGATCATGAATGTCGTTCCCAAGTCCCGGATGCTCCACACTACAACATTTGCCGTGAGATAGCTTCGGAATTGCTGCTCATTCCAGGGCATATACAACCTAGTCGTTTTGTGCACTGATGACCAGAAGGCGGGGAGGGGGGGGCGGCGCAAGAAAGGTGGCAAAACCTATGTTGATCAGCCATTGATGATGAAAGCAGGCACGGCCTTTGGCGTGGTGATGGACATGCTTTCTACAAGGAAGGAGGGGGGGGGGGGGGGGGGAGGGGGAAGGAGGGAGGGTTGACAGAAATCAAAGCAGAAAACAGAAAGCAATGGAGGGAGGGAAAGCTGGGCGTAGAGAAGATAAACAGGAAGCTGAAAAATATGAGGTCCTGCATAAGGCGCATCCCTGCAGAGCTCCATGGCAACACACAGCTAGGCAGAAAGGGCACTAACTGCTGCATCGACGAATGAGCAAGTCGAGCATCTGAATTTGAATCATGCAGTGTAGACAGGTAACCCTGCAGTGTGCATGATGCTACCTTATGTAACCACAAATCCGACATCTAATCAAGAACAAATGTATGGCTCTGGTTGCTCGGCATTGGCATTGCAAGGATGTTCAGCATGGACAGGGTCAGGCTGAAGAGTAGGAGCCTGAATGTTGACAAACGTAAGCGGGTCAGTGTTGGATCCATCCATCAACTCCTAGATCGGAGTTGGCGCGTGGCTTTTTACAGAAGCCCAGGTACAATATGACATGCTCCTGAACATGCCATGAGCACAACAATTAAGTGAAGGGAAGTGCCAAGGTAGTGTAATCGGCAACAATCTGCAGGACAGCAGTCCACATTATAACAGTTAGTAATTTGGATGATATAAGATGGGTCCTCCTAGGACTGAAAAGGTAAAAAAAAAAACACCCTTTATATTTAAGATTGCCTCCTTTTTAGCTGGATGAGCACAACAATCATGGAAGGCCCATCTTATCACAACAATCACGATTGCAGCGACCGTTGATCCCAGAAGCAAAATGACCGTATACTTGTGAACAGATCTCTGCAAATACACACTTGGGCCCTCGCCACACCACTCTCGAAATGTGAAAAAGACAAAAATGTGGCGGGTGCATCTGGCCATGTCCTAGGAGGAAGTTTATTCTGATTTTGCACATTTCAAGAGTGGTGTGGCGATGCCCTTCATCGTAAGTCAATATGGAGGTGCGTCAGAATTGTGGAGTAACAGAGGACACACCTTTCCTCATCGGCGTGTCACAAGCAAAACTGAAGTAATGGGAGGGAGGGAAGGAGTTGTTGGGATTACCCCCAGTGAAGGGGGGATAGAAAATAAAGATGGCGAGAAGATGACAAGAGATGAAGGGTTGGGAGAGGTTAGTGGTGGATCATCGAGAAGAAGAGGGGGAAGAAGGCATAGTTACAGTAATCGGAGCAGTTATGCACCGATGCTTTTGCTTTGGCTCCTGCTGCTGTTGGACGGAGAGAAAATGCAAAATTGGACAAAGATGAGAAGGGCAGGGCTCTCTGCAAACATAGAGAAAAACTGTACATAGCAACAATGGCCGGTAAATGTACCCTGGAATCCAGTGTCAGTGAGTGGAGTGCCCTTGTTCATTCTCTGTACCAGTTCGTCGTGGCAGCCATCACCAGTCATGTCAAGAGCTGTTCGGTGTTGCCGACTATGAGCGCATGTAAAGGTAGAGCCCTCCTTCCTGCGTGTCATGTATTCATGCGCATGGCAGAAAGTGAGACGGAGACATGAGGGAGGAGAAAAAACTTGAGGTTCAACCCCCTCTGTGCCTCTGTCTGTGTGTCCCTCTTGTCATCCAGCCATGGGAAATGAATGCGGCTCACAACAAGCTTGCAACAAAGGCTTTTTTCAATGAAGGGGTTACTGCAAGTTCTGCTCAACCATGGCAGAGCCCCCTTCACAAGAAAATCAATGAATTGCACAGTAGAAAACAGGCCATGCAGAGAGGAAAATCACAGCGTTTGTGACCCGTTTCCAGCCAGAGACGGACCATTGGCGACCTGCTGTTTTCGCCCATTCCCAATCATCTATCAAGTGTATCAACCGATCTTAAGGCCACCCCTCTGCTCCTCATACATCATTCATGATTAAGTGCCAGATTGTCTCTCAGGCGAACACGGTGCACTGTCAAAATCTTTCCATGGAAAGCACAGGCTTCATGATGCACTGGAGCTGGCTGGAGCAGTAGACAGCAGCAGACAGAAGTCTGATGCCAAACCCTCCGTACCAATTCAATCAATCTTTCGAGATTCGACAACGCAAACAATGCAGTAATGATGGTGGGGTGCAACAGCTATCAGACAGCTCTCCCACCAATCAATTCACAGAGTATGAAGTACATAGATGTGAAGAGAGAGCCATCTAGGAAGCCTAAAGGACAGCCAATTCAACCTTCGAGGAATGTCATTGCCACCGCGCAAACTGATATTGGTCAAGAATCAATCCGAAAGGTGCACGAGGCCTTGATTCAAGCTCTCATGCTTTACAACGTGACTGTAAGGGAGACTGCACTGCAAGACGGATGCACATGTTCATCGATATGAAAAAGGTAACCAAAATAGCTGTCAGCAGGCTGTTTAAACGTCCGCCGTCCTCAGATTTTCAAGGAACTTGAAGCCCCTCTTCATCCTTTCTAGACATCAGGTCTGGGCACAATACACACGTTCCATCCATCAAAAGGAGGATGAACTCCGATAAATGAACTCTGATAAGAAGGTAACAGCCAACCTGCAACAAAGTTACACAAGTTCAAGAGTGGCATAGTATACAAGTACAATGGCGCCAAAGAGAATGGTGCTAGAGAAGAGCACGAGCAAGCAAGCATATGCTGTCTACAACTGCTATGCCCATTGATCAGTGCTGTGCATGCTGAATAGGTATTGGCAGATGCGTAAGAACTGCATGGTTGCCGAAGCACTGTCTGCACACAAGGGGAGGCCATCCTACCTGGGAGGCCGGCCGATGGATATCTCAATGAGCTGAAGAAGCTTGTTAAGCAGATAAAATCCAGATATATCAATACAATTGCGTACTCTTTCCCACCAGTCCCTGGTGATCTCACCATCTCCATGAGCTTCTCACCCTGATACAGAGCTGATCCAATTCCACATATTAGAACTGGTCCTGACTTGTGCAGTTGAAGACCCTGTAGGCGGCGGCACTGGCTTGCCTGGGCCAGGCAATCGAGGAGCTAACAGCTGGTACGTCACCACTCGCTCCCGGCAAAGAGGACAATTCACGAGCACCTTCACACAGTCTATGCAGAAGGACGAATGCCCACAAGTCTGCAAATGCAAGAGCCATGGAAAACACGACAGAAAACGTTTGAAGAAGATAGGAAAAGTGATGGAAAGGAAAACAATGAAAACCAAACCATACAGCAGAAGGGAGAACAACAAGCACAGAATATGGATTTGGTGAGATGCAAGAATATGGACACAGGCTGCTGTCTCCCTAGTAGAAGAGCACTGGGCATCAGGGGTTGGTACTCATGTCTGAAACTGGTAAAGTTGAGATAGAACTTCGTAAAAGCTACTTCTGTAGATTTTTCCAGCCTCTGCTCCTTGGGTCTTTCATTTTCATGCCTTTCATCAACTCTCTCTCTCTCTCTCTCTCTCTCTCTCTGGTATGCAGTGGTGCTGCAACCCATGAAATATTTGCAGCCCTAAGGGCTGCAGTATGGTGGGGTCCGGCCTCTGTGTCAAGGTGGCCGAATTTTGGTGGTGGAAGACCACTGCAGACGAGGCCATATAGGGGTTGAAACTCAGGTATGACCGGTCCTTAGAGCGCTAGCGGAGGACCCACAGCCTTAAGGAGGCCCTACCAATAGGTAAGCATTTCAAGGGACTGGACTTCGCGGTCTCACGCGTAAATTCCACTCGTCGTGGCACTCGGAGGGACAGTCCCGCAATTTGCAAGAGGATGTGCTCAGAAAATTCGCAGAAATATCTAAAAATTTGAGAATCCGTAGCTTAGGTCATTGCAATCAGACTCGACTCTGGACTTGCTCACAACATGCATACATGAGAACCGATGACAAACCAAACTCGTCAACTCTGTTCAGGACAACTGTACAACTTGCGGCTATGGCCGCCGAACACTTTCCCTACCACCAGCCTCACTTCCCCACACTCTCGCATGCACGAGGATCACCCTGAATGTCCACGCTACATAGCCACACACACTCTGTACACTCCGTCTACACCAACAGCTGGGCGGCTGTGGCCGCTGTTGTCTTCCTCCTCCAAGCTATGGCCGCCGGTGTCTCCCTCTTTGGTTCGCTATGGCCGCTGTCTTCTTCACAGCCCACTCCTTCTCCGGGCACCTGCAGTCCTCCATGCACAAGATACCAAGGCAGCTCTTCCGCATGGCACACAGGCGAATGAATGAACGGCTGGACGCTTCCTCCTTATTTATACTTCTTCGGAGGTACCCGGACCCTGCCTCCAGACCTGTGGGCCAGGGCCAAAACGCGTGAAGCCCCAGGTCTGGAAGTTTCCAAACCGTGGGACTCTGGTACTCAACTCGTGTGTGCAGGCCCCAAACCGCGTATTCTGGAGACTTCTCCAGAACGCGTGGGCCTTCTGTTTTCCCCACGTGCAGCCCCTTTCCCAGGTACTTGCTGGCTGGACTGTCCTACAGGGGCCTACGACCTTCTAGACCCTACGGACCTACAGACAGCTTCCAGACCTACGACAGACTCAGTTAGAGACTTCTAGAACAGACTTTACTAAGCCTACCGGTAACAGACTCGACTTCTAAACTACAGACCTAGGGATCAAGTCCTACTGTCCGACCTACAGACTAGCCTAGGACGTAGGGCAGGTCTAGGGATCGAATCCTACTTAGGTCACTGGGTCTATGTACAGGTACAGGATAGGTCTAGGGATCGAATCTCACTAAGCACACAGGTTCAATGTACAGGGTTACGGCACAGGTCTGGGGATCGAATCTGTGTGTCTGCAATGTCGGGTCAACTGGGTGAAACCGTTTCAGTCATGGTCTTTCCAGGAAAATTATCAGAAAATTTTTGAAAAATCATTAAGACTGCAAAATACTCCTAGAACAGACTTTACTAAGCCTACCGGTAACAGACTCAACTTCTAAACTACAGACCTAAGGATCAAGTCCCACTGTCCGACCTACAGACTAGCCTAGGACGTAGGGCAGGTCTAGGGATCGAATCTCACTCAGCACACAGGTTCAATGTACAGGGTTAGGGCACAGGTCTGGGGAGCCAGGCCAGGCCATCACAAAAATTCTGAAAAATCATTAAGACTGCAAAATAAACGCCGCGATGATTTGGTGTATTTTCCATTTTTGCCACTCCGGACGGCGGGAGTGAAATGGTTTCACCCAGTTGACCCGACATTTGCAGACACTGAGATTCGATCCCTAG